AGCAGTTTCCTTTGCAAAAGGCGAGGACAGCCCTCCAGGCCCAGGGATTGCAGGAAGCTGCGTCTGAACGGGAGCTCTCTCTCCAAGGATCCGTCCCCGTGCTCCTCCCACGTCACCTCTCGGCAGCCAGAATCCGCCGCTGAAGGCGACGGTCACCAGAGCAACATGATACTGTCCATTTCCTGCCACGGTCGAGGGAGGCACTGACAGATGGAGTGCTGGAGGAAGTCCTGTTCCAAGCGAAGGAATGGGCCATGTGATCACGGACAGGACGGAAGAGACTGTAGATGCTCCCACGAAAGATGAATGAGCTGGGTGCACGTCTCCCTCAAGCGTCAAGGATTTAAAGAATATATGTAGCCCGGCCGGCGGGGCTCAGTGGTCGAGCATTGAGCTAGGAGCCAGGAGGTCACGGTTCCATTCCCCGTCAGGGCACAGGCCCGGGTTGCGGGCTCCATCCCCAGTAGGGGGCGTACAGGAGGCGGCCGATCCACGATTCTCTCTCATCATTGATGTTTCTTTCCTTCTCTCCGTTCCTCTCTGAAATCAATAAAAAAATATTTTTAAAAATATACATAGAGCCCTAACTGGTTTGGGTCAGTGGATAGAGCATTGGCCCTCGGACTGAAAGGTCGTGGGTTTGTTCCCGTCAAGGGCATGTACCTTGGTTGCAGGTTCCATCCCTGACCCAGGTCAGGGAGCATGCTGGAGGCAGCCACTTGAGGTGTCTCTCTCACATCAATGTTTCTCTCTCTGTATCTCTTCCTCCCTTCCATTCTTTCTAAAAATAAAATCAATGGACAAAATATTGTCGGGTGAGGATTAACAACAACAACAAAAGAAAATATGTAGATTCCTCCCCAATAACTGATGGAATGGATGGCTAAAAAGGCAGATAAATGAACATCTGGTCAAGTTGCTGCTTGTAAGGGAAATCATGACTCCCACGACTGTCCTTCTCTTTGACATTCGCCCAGTAATTTTTATTTCCTCCCTTGTCACCGAGCAGGGAGGCGCCACCGGATCTCTGAGTATTGGTGTGCCCGCCGTGTCTCTCAGATCCCAGCCAAGAGCCAGGTCCCTCACCATGACATCGCCTTGATCACTCAACCTTAACATGCGCCCCAAAGAGGAGAATCGAAACAAATTTGTGTGTCTTAAGTGGGGGCATTGAACGAAGGGCGTATTGAGTATCGCCTTAGCTCTTGGACATGAGCCTTGGCAATCAGAGAAGAGTTGCCCGATGTCCTCTTTATGGGGTATGTGAGCCGACACAGCTGGGGACACTTTTCTGCACTATTAAAACTGTGACTTAACTGGCAAACTGCCAAACCTTCAGGGCTTGGTCGCCGAATCTTGAAATAGGCTATTTTTCACCCCAGGGTCCCCATTATAATCTCTGACCCTCGAAGCCTTGGTCCACATTGCTAATGCCACCTCCACTCTCTGAAGCCCTTCTTTTCTATTACCTTCCCCATTTATGTAACCTCTCAACTCTCATCCGTTTTATAACCCCGCCTACTCACATTGATTTTTTTCCTCCCCTGGAATCTTCTGGTTTCTTGAGCGTGAACTACACGAAAGATAAAATGTCATGGGTTTAGTGTTAAAAATGATCTTCATCGAACCTTCTCTCACCTGCTCCCTCTACTTTATGAAATGGAGTCTGGGAGCTCGAACTGCCCGGTGTGACACGATCAACAACCAGGAGGGATGTACTTCGAGGAGGCGCAGTGTTCCCTGGTGGAGTTCTCCGGGGACATCTGTGGGTCCTTAGGGCTCCAGGATGGGGTGTTCACATTTCCAAAGAGGCATCCGGGACGTACAGAAATAGACGGTACAGTCCGTGTAGTTCCCGGGTAGATCCTTCTGAGAAGACAGCAGAGTGGGGCTTTGGAGAGAGACTGGGCAGACGGACATGAATAGACATTGGTTAAGTTGGAAGATAGGATAGTAGCTTCTTGACCCAGGGGCTATGGCCAATGTCTGTGAACTGAAAGGGAAAGAATTACAGTCAAACCCCCAAGTTTGGTGCATGGGGATGACTCTCTAACCGACCGAGCTCCCCCACCAGGGCTGCAGAACAGCTGTCTTAAGTTACCACAGGTCAAGAGAGGGCACGTGGTGGGGAGGGCAGGAATCATCCCACAGAAGTCACCACTGACCCCTCTTATGTGCCCGCTGCCTTCAGGAGAGCTTCATGCCTCCTTGTGGTCGCCAAGGGCACCCCTGTCCTCGGAGACACGCGGGCATGCTTCCAGCAGATGAACCGATGCTGCTGCTTTCTCTCCGGTCACTCATTTTCAGAGTCTAACCCACTACGCAGCTGCCTCCGGCCCACAACACCAACATCAGAAAGTTGACCCCTTAGCCCGGCCGGTGTAGGTCAGTAGTTGAGCATATTGACCTACGAACCAGGAGGTCACAGTTTGATTTCCGGTCAAGATACATGCCCGTGTTGAGGGCTGAATCCCCAGTGGAGGGTGTTCAGGAGGCAGCTGATCCATCATTCCCTCTCATCATTGATGTTTCTCTCTCTCCCTTCCTCTCTGAAATCAATAAAAATATTAAGAAAGGAAGGGAGGAAGGAAGGAAGGAAGGAAGGAAGGAAGGAAGGAAGGAAGGAAGGAAGTAAAAGAAGAAATGAAAGAAAGAAGGAAAGAAAGAAAGAAAGAAAGAAAGAAAGAAAGAAAGAAAGAAAGAAAGAAAGGGAGAAAGAAAGTTAGTTAACCTCTTAGCATGAGGATCTTCTGTTGACTCCAGACTGCCATCATCAGATGGCCCGGTTTCTGAAGCTGGCAGTGGCCAGAGAAATCCTTGCTGTTTATTTCTCTAGTGGCAGCACGAGGAAAGCAAGTAGGGGCCAGAGAGGTTAAATGATTTATCGAAAGTCATAATGAAGAAATTGGGTTAGAACGAGGTTTACTGCCTCCAAGTCTGATGCTTTGTCCGCTCTGCGTCGTGTTGTCCTCCGCAAAAATCAATAAGGGGGAAACTCGATACAATCTTTATGATATTTTGCCGTGTAAATGGTTGTTGGTCTAGATCCTCGGTGTTTTTTTGTGTTTTTCACCGTCATGCATTTCACATTCAGTTTTTGGAAATCTAAGTTCTGATTCTTTGTATCCGTCTGCTTCTGAGATTGGTTTGTGTCTCAGTCACCATTGCTGTGTAACAAATGATCCCAATCTCAGTGGCTTACAACAGCTGTTTGACTTTTCCCATAACCTGGAAAGGACTTGGCCGGGTGTGTCTCTCGTGGGGTTGCACTGGAAGTTGGCTGGGGCGGAGGGACCCCAATGGAGTTGAGAGCTTAGGTGGGACTGAGTGCTGTCCGAGTCTTCCCATGTGGTCCATGGCTGCCTTGGGGCCTCAGCATTCTCCTAGTGCTGTGGTCAGCAAACCGCGGCTCGCGAGCCACATGCGGCTCTTTGGCCCATTGAGTGTGGCTCTTCCACAAAATACCACGTGCAGGCGCACATACAGTGTGATTGAAACTTCGTGGCCCATGCGCAGGAGTCGGTTTTTGGCCTGGGCGAGTCTATTTTGAAGAAGTACTGTTGATATTTGGCTCTGTTGCCTAATGAGTTTGCCGTCCACTGTAAGTGGCTCCGGTCTCCAGATCAGGATCCCAGCTGGTTAGGCAGGAGCTGCATAGCTTTTTATGGCCTAACCTTGGGAGGTAAGAAGTGTTACTTCTTTTAAAAAAATTTTATTTATTAAAAAAATTATTTTTTATTGATTTCATAGAGGAAGAGAGAGAGAGAGAGAGAGAGAGAGAGAGAGAGAGAGGATGAATATCGTGGATCAGCTGCCTCCTACACGCATTCTACTGGGGATGGAGCCAGCAACCCAGGCTTGAGCCCTGACCGGGAATTGAACTGTGACCTCCTGGTTCATAGGTGGATGCTCAACCCCTGAACCGTGCCGGCCAGGCCTCAGACCTATTTTTAGATTATTCAGCTTTTCCTAGGCATGGCCATGGGACCTAGTACCCAGTTGGCACAATGATGGCAAACGTCTTCTTTTATAAGCTGCACTGTCTCCATGCCAACCCCCATCAGATGGAAACAAACCTCATTTTGTTTCATGGAGAGATGTCTCCATCCAACTCCTTAAAACACCTCTTTCTCTTGAATTCATTTCAACCTTGACAGAGTTGTTTCTTATACCTGAACTCAATTTGTAAGGACACTACTTCTTCCTAGACCCTCTTTTAAAAAATATATATTTTATCGATTTTTTACAGAGAGGAAGGGAGAGGGATAGAGAGTTAGAAACATCGATGAGAGAGAAACATTGACCAGCTGCCTCCTGCACACCCCCTACTGGGAATGTGCCCACAACCAAGGTACATGCCCTTGACTGGCATTGAATCTGGGACCCTTCAGTCCGCAGGCCGATGCTCTATCCACTGAGCCACACCGGTTAGGGCTTCCTGGACCCTCTTATGTAAACACGGAGAATCGCTGGTCACCCTGCTTGGCGTTGGGACCATTTTTAGTGATGGGAGCTTCTGATCGGCTCTCCCTCCCCTCATTCATTACCAACTTCAAATTTAATAATGTCCCTTGTTTAACCGACGGACCGTCTCCAGCAAGTGTTCCAGCCGCCTGGCAATGTGGTTTTCTAGGGCTATGAGCTGTGTCCTGTGCTCTTGGCTCATGCATTTGGGAGAGATTCTGACGTACTCTTTAGGGACCAAGAATTAGAATTTCATGCCCAGCTGGCATGGCTCAGGGGTTGAGCGTTGGCCTATGAAGCAGGAGGTCATGGTTCTATTCCCGGTCGGGGCACACGCCCGGGTTGTGGGCTCCATCCCTAGTAGGGGGCGTGTAGGAGGCAGCCTACCCATGATTCTCTCTCATCATGGATGTTTCTATCTCTCTCTCCCTCTCTGAAATCAAGAAAAAAATATATATATATATTAAAAGAAAATAGAAGTTGGTTTCATGGGAAAGAAAAGGGAAGTGGAGTCCTACTCCTGCCGTGGTAGCAACATGAGCAAAGCTTTGAAGGCACAGGTACCCATGGTGAGCGTGGGCCACGGTGACTGGTCCTAGGTGGCCGCCGTGCGCAGCGCTGGGCTGTGGGCTGTGGCTGGAGATGAGCCTCCGAAGGCTGCGTGATGGGTAGAGTGTTACTGACACATGATGAGTCAGGAGGAGGAAGGCCACAGCAGACGAACATTGCCAAGCAAGGGAGCAACAAATTCGAACCAGAATTGGAGCAAATCGCAGTGCAAACTCGCCCCCCCACACCCTCAGACTGTGAAAGACACTGTTTGTTCTTCCGACTGCCTGCCTCTCTCTGTAAACTTGGCAGAGCCACTTTTTTTTTTTTTTAATGGGAAAGTCTTCATCGGGGGATTTACTCAATGATTCCTTTAACAGGATCGTTAAAGGAACATCGAGGCCCGTCGCATCCTGCCTCCTTGAATCGCTCATTTATTATTACTGTGGGTGAGATAACGGCGCGGTGGGGCACGTCTAAATGGTGTAAGATATTTATTGGTAAATGTAGTGGTGCGTAAATTAATGCCAGTGGAGAGTTTGTGGGGCCTTTTTTATTTTTTCCCCCTCCACGGATAGCCATGATTTCCACTTAAAGACAAACAATCTTGCGCTGATCCATCCAGGCTCGGAGCTGAGATCATTGTGAGCTCAACATCTATATGACGATATTGCCTCTTAGTTCCTGCGGGAGGGCAGGGATCTCTGGGTGGGCTGGCGCTATCGTTTCTGGAATCAATTTCTTTCCTGTTTATTAAAGCCTTCGTGCTTGTGCCCGCTTGGCGTGGCTCAGTGGTTGATTGTTGATCTATGAACCATGAGATCACAGTTCAATTCCTGGACAGGGCACATACCTGGGTTGCAGGTTTAGTCCCCAGTAGGGGGCGTGCAGGAGGCAGCCGATCGATGATTTTCTCTCATTGATGTTTCTATCTTTCACTCCCTCTCCCTTCCTCTCTGAAATCAGTAGGGGGCGTGCAGTAGGCAGCCGATCGATGATTTTCTCTTAACATTGATGTGTCTGTCTCCCTCTCCCTCTCCCTTCCTCTCTGAAATCAATACAAATATATTAAAAACAAACAAACAACCACCCATAGTGCTTGGGAGGAGGGCACATGGAGGTGTGAAATTTTCTTCTTTCTCCATCACATCGAAATTCCATAACAAACTATCCAAATAAAAGTAGCTTTCCTACGTGAGGACATGTATTATTTCACTCACCTGGAAGTCCACAGGTTGGTGGCTCCACAAAGCTGGTCATCGGTTGGTTAAGAACGTCACCAGCGCCCGGCCGGCTGGCGTGGTTCAGTGGTTGAGCGTTGACCTATGAGCCAGGAGGTCACCGATTCCCAGGCAATTTGTGTCTTGACGGCCTGGCCTGGCGACTGTAAACGGATGGTTTCCACTGTACGTTTGCGAGACGACTGCATGAATAATTCATTGAGAGGAAATGAAAGCTGGGTCTTTTTCTTCTTTTTAATCAGTTTCTACTTGAGTCGTTTCCCCCTTTCCTCTTTCTCTCATCTGTCCGTTTCCTACCCTATTTTCCCTTTTTTGGCTCATATTTCATAACGAACTAATACATTGTAGTCATTAGCTAATGAATCTGGCATCTTCTGTCACCCAACGTTGCACAGCCTTCTTTTATGATTTAACCCCTTCCCTCTTCTCAGAAGAAATGCAATTTTGGGGGGTGGGGGTGGGGGGGTGCTTGGAGGTGGACCCTGAAACATCAGTGTGGATTAGGGACACCATTCCTGGGACTCTCTTTTCTCTTCTGAACCATCTTCGGGTCCACTTTCAAAGGGCCAGAGTCCTGCCCTAGATGTTTGGCTCAGTGGATAGAGCATCGGCCTGCGGACTGATGGGTGTCAGGTTTGATTCCTGGTCAGGGTACATGCCCGGATTGTGGGCTCGATGCCCATTTTTTGATATATATATATATTTGTATTGATATCAGAGAGGAAGGGAGAGGGAGAGAGAGATAGAAACATCAATGAGGAGAGAGACTCATGGATCGGGTGCCTCCTGCACACCCACTACTGGGGATCCAGCCTGCAACGCGGGCACGTGCCCTGACCGGGAATTGAACTCTGACCTCCTGGTTCATAGGCCGAAGACACTCAACCACTGAGCCACACTGGCCGGGCTCAGTGCTTACTCTTTTGTCCATCTTACTGCTCCAAAACGGGTCATAGGGAGGCAGAGCCCCATGGGAGCCCCCTCATCGTCATGATTTAGGGAGCCCCCCTTTAGGCCTTTTTAAAAAAATATTTTTATTGATTTCAAAGAGGATGGGAGAGGGAGTGAGAGAGAAACATCAATGATGAGAGAGAATCATGGATCAGCTGCCTCCTCCACGCCCCACACTGGGGATCGAGCCCACAACCCGGGCATGTACCCTGACCGGGAATTGAACAGTGACCTCCTGGTTCATAGGTCGGCGCTCAGCCACTGAGCCACACCGGCCAGGCTGGGCGCTGTGTATGGCAGGAAGTCTTTCTCAGGGGAAGGAAGCCCACAGCCCTGCCCTCTCCCACCTCCTGTGTTTGGAGTAAAAGGCGCGTGTGTTCTCGTTGCAGACCTCCTCCGACCGCGCGTCCATCCTGAGCATCCTCCAGGTCCTCGGGGACCTGCTGTCCGTCGGTGAGTGGGCCTTGCCATCCCTGGCCTGGTGGGCGCGGGGCATCCCTGGGGCCATGGCGTTCGCCCGGGACTCTGAGGGGCTCGGGGTTTTTCTCCAGCTCACGTTTCTCTGTGAGACAGAATCCCCACTGAGGTGCATAGGTCCTGGGGTCACCTGGGCTGGGTGGACATGGGGCTCTTCCATCTTGTCACTCACCTTACGGGGACCCGAACTTAGGAGGATTTCGACGCCCGGTGGTGACGCCAGGGTAGCTCATCGATGAGGCCAAGCACCTAAAAATATTTTTATAGATATGAGAGAGGGAGGGAGAGAGAGAGAGAGAGAGAGAGAGAGAGAGAGAGAGAGAGAGAGAGAAACATCCACGATGAGAGAGAATCATGGATTGGGTGCCTCCTACATGCTTTCTATTGGGGACTGAGCCTGCAACCCTTGCATGTGCCCTGACCAGGGATCGAACCGTGACCTCCTGGTTCACAGGTCGATGCTCAACCGCTGAGCCACGCCGGCTGGGCACGTGGCCCATTTTAGAGCCGGGTCTTGGCAGCTGCCTAACCCAGGTCCCTGGAGACGGGAATCGGAGGCCGGAGCTGGACCTAGCGGCGTGGTAAACCCTGAGGTGTCCAGAGATAAGGTGACGGCTCTGACTGCATTGGCATCAGCCGGGTTCACGGGGCCATGGCTCTGTCAGCTCATCTCCGCGTGGCGAGTCCTGGCACGCACAGCTCTTTGGACGGTGCGACATCCCCTCAGTTTTCATGTCTGTGTGTGCCAGCTGCACTGCGTGAGGAAGAAATACCAACACCACACAGACCAGACCCAAATGAACGCCCCACCCTGCCCCAGAGACTCAGGCTCCAGTGTCCAGAGGAAAGATCCATTCACCTGGAGGTTTTTTTTGCTTTTGTTTTTAAAGATATCTTTATTGATTTCAGAGAGGAAGAGAGAGAGAGAGAGAGAGAGAGAGAGAGAGAGAGAGAAGCATTAGCGAGGAGAGAGAATCATAGATCAGCTGCCTCCTGCACACCCCATACCCGGGCATGTGCCCAGACTGGGAATCGAACTGTGACCTCCTGGTTCATAGGTTGACACTCAACCACTAAGCCACGCCAGCCGGACTAGACTCAATTTTTTTTTAAAAAAATATATTTTTATTGATTTCAGAGAGGAAGGGAGAGGGAGAGAGAGAGAAACATCAATGATGAGAGAGAATCATGGATCGGCTGCCTCCTGCACACCCTCTACTGGGGATTGAGCCAGCAACCCGGGCATGTGCCCTTCACCAGAATCAAACCCAGGACCCTTTAGTCCGCAGGCCGACGCTCTATCCACTGAGCAGAACTGGCTAGGGCTAGGCTCAGGTTTTTACAGTTGCTAAAGGTGATACATCTAGGTACTTATTTCTTCTATTATTTCTACATTTCATACCCCTTCCCACAGCCCAGCCCCTTACCTAATTGCATTACTTTAACTCAAGGTGATCCAAGAAGTACACAGTTTTGGTTTCTGGGGAGAAATGGACCAGTTCTTGCTCTATCGCTTGCTCTGAGGAAACGAGAGTGATTTTCTCGATGGCTCAGCTCTCCTCTGCTCCCCCCGTAGGCACGGACAGGCGGATCCGCTACATGATCAGCAAGGGGGGCAGCGAAGCCCTCCTGCAGACCCTGGTGGACACAGCAAGGACCGCGTCTCCGGACTACGGCATCCTCCTGCCCCTCTTCCGACTGCTGGCCAAGGTCGGCCTGCGAGGTACCCACAGCCCCGGGCCTGCGGATGACGAGTTTGTGGCGATGAGAGGAATTGGGGGAGCTCTCATGGGAACGTGCAGGGAGGAGGCAGGAGGGAGGTCCCAGACACCTGGGTGGTGATGGCAGGATCAGCCCCTTTGAAGAGGTCATGAGAAGGAAGCAAAGAAAATGAGTCCAAATTATCCATTCCTTGCTGATTTGGTTAGATTTGGAATCGTGGTGGTGTGACTATATGGGGAAAAATGTCTTTCTTCAAAGAAGTGTACTTGAGCCCTAGCTAGTTTGGCTCAGTGGATAGAGCGTCAGCCTGCAGACTGAATGGTCCCGGGTTCAATTCCAGTCAAGGGCACATCCCCGGGTTGTGGGCTCAATCCCTAGTAGGGGGTGTGCAGGAGGCAGCTGATCCATGATTCTCTCTCATCATTGATCGCTCTCTCTCTCTCTCTCTCTCTCTCTTCCCCTTCCTCTCTGAAATCAATAAAAATATATATGTTAAAAAATAAAAACCAATGGAAAAATATCCTCAGATGAGGATTACCAAAACAAACAAACACAAAAACAAAGAAATGCGCTTGAAAGTATTTAGGAGCAAAACTCTGGGTGCAGCCCTGACTTAGCTCTTCTGAGCCATCTGGTTCTAGCGGGGACACACTCAGCCGCATTTTCCCACAGGTCTGAGGGGCCTCCCCGGCCATGGTTAGCTTCCTCCCACCGTCACCTTTGCCTTCCCCGCCCTCACACCCATCGTGCAACCTTCAGAGGGAATGTGCAACCTAACTAAGAGGGATTGACTTGTGTTCGTAGATAAGAAGTTTGGCCAGAAGGCCCTGGAGTTGGAAGCTCTTGATGTCACGTTGATTCTCGCCAGGAAGAACCTGTCCCACAGCCTGAACCTCCTCCACTGCCTCTGGGCCCTGCGCGTGTTCGCCTCGAGTGGTGAGCGACTCCCCTGTGGCATTCTGGGGAATTGTGGGGAGCTTCCGGACCTGGGCTGGGACGCCCAGGCACGGACCTGGGTTGCAGGTTCGATTCCGGCCACGGTGGTGGTGGTGGGGGGGGTTGTACAGGAGGCAACCAATGGCTGTGTCTCTCCATTGCCCTTGACGGGAATCGAACTGTGATCTCCTGGCTCATAGGTCGATGCTCAACCACTGAGCCATGCCGGCCGGCCGGGCACACTCATATTTGTTGAGCAGAGAATCAGGGATTATTTGGGAAGGGCTGATAGGAACTGTGCAAACCCATCTAAACTAATAAAAGGGTAATATGCTAATTAGACTGGGTCGACTGGACATCTTCGGGTCGTTCTTCTGGACAAAGCCACGGTGGCGGGGGCCGAGGCAGAGGTGGTTAGGGGCGATCAGGCCAGCAGGGGAGCACGTAGGGGCGATCAGGCCAGCAGGGAAGCACGCCTGGCAGGCAGCCCTCCCCTCCCCCCATCCTCCCCTCCCCGCCCTTGTGCACGAATTTCGTGTACTGGGCCTCTAGTCTCTAATAAAGGAAAAGGGAAACAAAGAGATGAGGCTTTGGTTAGAGGAGAGCTCTCACGGAGGAGCAGCCAGAAGGTGTGCCACCCCCCATGTGCAGCGACCGTTAGAAACATCTCATTCTTATTACGTATAAGACTTCCTTCAGCAGGGAGCTCCGAAAACTGCTGGGATTCGCTGGTGGGTGTGGGGAGGTGGCCGCTTGCCTCCTGCTTGAAGACTGCACGCACTGTACCCACGAACGGTTTCCTAAACCACTTTAAAAATGATCGGACCAGGCTCTACGCATTGCCTTCTCCGAAGGCGGGCAAGCAGAGTTCACACGCCCGTGTTTTGCTCTCTCTTCGGTGAATGGTTCGCCGCGGTTGCTTGTTCCCGCAGCTTTCTCAACAGCTCCTCCCTGCAGAAGGAATGCGCTGGGACCAGAAGGGCTGGTGGCAGCCAGAGAGCCCTTTGGCAGCGCTGAGCTGGCCGGGGTGGGGCGGGGAGGGGATATTTATAGAGCCGTCAAGAGGTCTGACCTTGGGCCAGGCTCCAGCTGGGAAGAAATCGGTTGAAGATTTCTTACTGTTGTCCTCTCCCAAGTCTCCCGTCTTCCATGTTAGAATTTATGCTCTTAGCACCCTCTCCTCCTCAGCTCTACTTAATCCTAGCCTTTTGCAGACTTATGTGCCAGGAGATTGCTTTATTTATTTGTATGTGTGTGTTTTTTTAAATATCTTTTTTATTGATTTCAGAGAGGACGGGCGGGGGAGAGAGAGATAGAAACATCCACGATGAGAGAGAATCATGGATCGGCTGCCTCCTGCAGGCCCCCTACTAGGGATGGAGCCCGCAACCCGGGCACGGGCCCTGGTGGGGAATCGAACCGTGACCTCCTGGTTTATAGGTAGTCGCTCAACCACGGAGCCACGCCGGCCGGCTGGGCCAATGCTTGGTTCTTATAGTTCAATACCAACTGCACCTTTGTCTTTCTCAGTCACCACGGGAGCCATGCTGGGAATCAACGGAGCCATGGAACTGCTCTTCAAGGTCATCCCCCCGTACACCAGGAAGCGTACCCGGATCATCAGGTACCGAGGCCTTTGGTTAGGACTTGTTTGTCTGGAGTAGAAGCAGGGACGGCGATGGTCTCATGTACGTTCTCAGGGTGCTTCCGGCTCTGCCGAGTGAGGGTTCCCCCGTTGTGGACACGGTACAATGACTTGACTTTGTCACAAGTTGCCACCCCCGCCCCTGCCCCCACACACAATATGTCATCTCCTCTAATCCTCACAACAACCCTGAGTGGGTATATTATGATCCTCATGTTCACATGAGGAAATGCAAATGTGCAAAGAGCTGTAGCCGCGGTCTCAAGGCTGCGAAAGGCAGAGCTGGGTTTGTACCCAGACCTCTCTGACTTCAAAGCCGATTTCTTCTGCCCGAAGACTTCCGTCGTTCTTTGTATTTTTAATTTATTTATTGTTTAAATATCTTTTTATTGATTTCAGAGAGGAAGGGAGAGGGAGAGAGAGATGGAAACAATCAATGATGAGAGAGAATCATGGATCGCCTGCCTCCTGCACGCCCCACACTGGGGATCGAGCCCGCAACCTGGGCATGTGCCCTGACCAGGAATCGAACCATGATCCCTAGGTTGACGCTCAACCACTGAGCCACACCAGCCGGGCTTCAGGTCTTTTTTTTCACTCGCAGGCAACTCTCCGGTGGTGAGTATGATCCTTAAAAGACAGTCCACAAACGACAGGGAAAGGTGCCGTTCCTGGCGCTCTCTGAGGAGTCAGCCAGGTAACGTTCCGATAGGAAATCTGTGCCTCACAGTCGTCCATCATGGCTGTGGGCCGGTTTTCAGATTTTTTTTTTTTACGATCGGAAAATGACACTCTGCCATTCCGGCTGGCCCTGCGCGCCCGAGGGGAGTGAATCACCAGCTTAAAAAGGGAGACGGTCAGACATGAAGGCGTTAGGGATATTTGGAACCATCATGCTCCATCACTCACGGCCGTGACTCAGCGAGGACCTTGAAAGAATATTAGAAAAGGCCCAGGCAATTCCCAAGATCCATGGGGTCGTTTGGCAACGCAGCCCTTCCGTGCCCGGCCTCGATCTGCTCCGCATCCCAGCATCCATCTCGGGCCCATGTTCCCACCCGATATTTGTCTCCTGGGGTCACCACGGCGAGACCATTATCATCCATTGTCACCGGCAGCTCTCGACACTGGCATTTCCTAGAGTGAAATACAATCATATCTCAGAAAAGAGCACAAAACCCAAGCCCTAGCCGGTGTGGCTCAGTGAATAGAGCGTCAGCCTGTGGACCCAAGGGTCCTGGGTTCGATTCCGGTCAATGACACGTACCTCCGTTGCAGGCTCCTCCCCGGCCCAGGCCCTGTTCAAGGCGTCTATAGGAAGCAACCAATCGATGAGTTTCTCTCACATCGATGTTTCTCTCTATCTTTCCCTCTCTCTAAAATTCAATGGAAAAATATCATTGGGTGAGGATTAACAAGAAAACAAAAACACCCAAAAAACCAAATTCCTCATCAAATGTATTGAGAAGTACTGGGTTAAACGAAGGGTGGACGATTTCTTTACCGTGAGAATTCTCAGAGCCTTCGTCAGGCCCACACACATTCAGAATATCCGAGATGGGTACGTGGTAGGCCCCGTTCTGACCCTGGTTTGGTCGGGGGACTGCTTGTGTCTGGAGACCGTCTTTTGTTGGGAGTCATTGTTCTCTGTACCTCCTTGCAGATTCCTCCCCTCTAAAGTGCAAATGTCTTGCAAAATGAGTTTCCATGAAATTCTACCAAGTCCTGGTCATTGAGAAAGAACAAATTTGAGAGTCACACACTCGGTCACAGCATCAACCAGCAGTGGACTTCCGTGGCTTTTATTTCCATCTGTGTCCATGTGGATACATATGATTTGCATATGTCTGGTTTTTAAAAATGTTATGCATGTATTTAGTTTTATTGCTTTCAGAGAGAGGAAGGGAGAAGGAAGAGAGAGATAGAAGCATCCACGATCAGAGAGAATCATGGACCGGCTGCCTCCTGCATGCCCTGTAGTGGGGATGTGCCCACAACCTGGGCATGTGCCCCAACCGGGAATCGAACCGTGACCTCCTGGTTCACAGATAGATGCTCAACCAGTGAGCCATGCCGGCCGGGCAGCACCTATATTTTATGATTCCGTTCATGTGACGTCCCGGAACTGGCAAAGTCAGTTTACAGTGACAGAGAACGGATCAGCGGTGGCCTACAGCTGGGGAGCCATATGACCAATGAAAACCCAACCTCCATGGCACGGAGACTTCTCACGGCCCAATACCCTGGAGCCGGCGCGGCTGTGACCTTCCTCCTGTGCCTGGCCCCGTGCTGAGCTCTCAGCAGGCATCCTCTCCTTTGAGTTTCTACCCTGTGAGAGCAGCAGGTGCCGTGACTGTCCCCACATTTCCCGGGAATGAAGAAACAGGAGCGGAAAGAGGTTAAGTAACGCGCTGGGATTTAAGCAGAAAGCGCTGGGGTTTTAAACCCCGTCTGAGACGCGAGCCTTCGCTCTTATACCACCACCGGGGTGTCTTTCGCAGCCCGTTTCCAGCGTTCTATTCCTAAACCGCCATATGGAAGACGGTCAGACGCTGTTAAGTTTGTTTGAATTCGGGGTACCGTCTACATGGCTCGTACTCATGGAATGATGTGGTTAACGATGGGGGAGTCTTTCTGCTCAATCGAATGGCTGTTTCCTCTCAGAAGGTAAATCAGTGTGTGTCCTCTGCCTTTTTTTTAAAAAAAATCTTTATCGTTGTAAGTATTACATATGTCCCCTTCCCCCGCCCCATCATTGACCCCTTCGAGCCCACCCCTTCCCTCCCCCCCCACCTCAGGCCTTCACCCCGCTATTGTCTGTGTCCCCGGGTTATGCACATGTGCATACAAGTTCTTTGGTTGATCTCTCCCACCCACCCACTGCCACCTTCCCTCTGAGATTCCTCAGTCTGTTCCATGCATCTACGTCCCTGGATCTGTTTTGATCATCACTTTATTTTGTTCATTGGACTCCACACAGGAGTGAGGTCATGTGAGACTTGTCTGTCTCTGACTGGCTTCTTTCGCTCAGCGTGATGCTCTCCAGGTCCCTCCATGTGTCTCAAAGGATAAGAGTTCCTTCCTTGCCCTCTGCCTTTGAATTTCCTTGTTTTCAAACCCCAAGATAAGAACCGAGGTGTTGAAACCGGAAGACTTGTATGATAGCCCTCTCGCTAGGTGGCCCTCAAAGTATGACTAGCAAGTCCTCACTCCTAGGTTGGTTGCGGGCACTAAGAAATAAGGTGTAAGCCTGGCCGGTGTGGCTCAGTGATTGAGCATCAACCCAGGAACCAGGAGGTCACGGTTCGATTCCCGGTCAGGGCACAGGCCCGGGTTGTGGGCTCCATCCCCAGTGTGGGGAGTGCCGGCGGCAGCCGATCCATGATTCTCTCTCATCATGGATGTTTCTCTCTCTCCCTCCCTCTCCCTTCCTCTCTGAAATCAATACAAATATATTTTTTCAAAAAGAAAGACAGTGTGAGGATGTTGTAAGCGTTGATGTGCGTAAAATACCGTTCATTTATTCGTACAAATTCCGTTGGCTCCTTGGCCGACTCCTTCTAACAGAGCCAGTGGGGAATGTGGAGATGGGACGTTTCTCCCATGGACTCATCTCCTGAGGGTCATTAAGAGGCACCCAGTGAGTTCTCCGGGGCTCCGCTTGGGTGCCAGGACCTGTGGGTGGGAAGGGGATGAAGTACCATGTCAGGGGACGCGAATAGCCCTCCTGAGTCCCATCCTCCCAGCGCCGGTGGCCAGGGGAGAGCTATTCTGGGACGCTTCGTGGGAACAGATGCCCAGTGGTGTGTCACTGTTTCCTCCCTGCCCTGGAGATTAAGCCTGCCCTACTTCCCTAATCAGACCTAAAATTAGCCGCGCAGCTGTCCCCCGCCAGAGCCCTGTGTCCACATGGTACTCAGGGCGAGATTTATGACAGAGCCCACAGCACGCACATGCACCTTCCAGGGAGAGGGGGCACGCGGAGCAATGTCACTGGGTGAACCCCGGGTGGCCGTGAGCCAGCCCTCGCTCCCAGGGGAGGCGGCTGGCCCAGGCCTCCCTCACACCCCAGACACCCACCGAGCTGGCACGGTGGTGTTGCTCTCAGATATTCGCGTTGGCTTGCACTGGCTTCCGCATGATCATCCCCTTTGACTACCGCACTTGCTTGACTTCAAGGCAATCAAGAAGGGTCCCTGTCTCCATTTCCATCCTTATTGACTTCTTCCTCCTCTCCTCCTCCACCTCCTC